CAAGTTTTTTCTTTTTTTTTTTTTGAGATGGAGTTTTGCTCTTGTTACCCAGGCTGGAGTGCAATGGCACAATCTCTGCTCACCGCAACCTCCGCCTCCTGGGTTCAAGCAATTCTTCTGCCTCAGCCTCCTGAGTAGCTGGGACTACAGGTGCATGCCACCATGCCCAGCTAATTTTTGTATTTTTAGTAGAGACGGGGTTTCACCTTGTTAACCAGGATGGTCTCGATCTCCTGACCTCATGATCCACCCGCCTCGGCCTCCCAAAGTGCTGAAATTATAGGCATGAGCCACCGCGCCCGGCCTCCTTTGCCCACTTTTTAATTGAGTTTTTTTTTTTTTTTGCTTGTCAATTTAAAGTTCCTTATAGATGCTGGATATTAAACCTTTGCATAATGTATTAATATTTTCTTCCATTCTGTAGGTTGTCTGTTTCCTCTGTTGAAAGTTTCTTTTTTGTTTTCTTAGAGACAGGGTCTTACTCTGTTACCTAGACTGAAGTGCAGTGGTATGATCATGGCTCACTGCAGTGCAGTGGTATGATCACGCCTCAACCTCTCCGGACCCAGGTGATCCTCCCACTTCAGCCTCTCGAATAGCTGGGACTACCAGTACATGCCACATGCCCAGCTAATTTTTTGTATTTCTTTGTAGAGAGGGGGTTTCAACACGTTGCCTAGGCTAGTCTCAAACTCCTGGGCTCAGGCAGTCTACTCACCTTGGCTCCTAAAGTGCTAGAATTCCAGGCATAAGCCATGATGCTCAGCCAATAGTTTTATTTTGCTGTGCAGAAGCTCTTTAGTTTAAATTAGGTCTCATTTATCAATTTTTGTTTTTGTTGCAGTTGCTTTTGAGGACTTAGTTACAAATTCTTCCCCAAGGCCAATGTCCGGAAGGGTACATCCTAGATTTTCTTGAAGGATGTTTATAGTTTGAGATCTTACATTATATTAGTTCATTTTCAGGCTGCTGACAAAGACATACTTGAGACTAAGTAATTTATAAAAAGGTTTAATTGACTCACAGTTCCACATGGCTAGGGAGGCCTCACAATCACGGCAGAAGACAGACAGCAGGTAGGATGCCTTACATGGCAGCAGGCAGAGAGAGAATGTGAACCAAATGAAAGGCTTTTTTCCTAATAAAACCATCAGATCTTGTGAGACTTACTCACTACCATGAGAATACTATGAGAGAAAGCCCCCCATGATTCAATTGTCTCCCACTGGGTCCCTCCCACAACACATGAGCATTATAGAAGCTACAATTTAAGATGAGCTTTGGGTGGGGACACAGGCAAACCATATCATACATTTAAGGCTTTAATCCATTTTGAGTTAATTTTTGTAAATGGTGATAGGTAGGTGACCAGTTTCATTCTTCTGCATAGGGTTAGCCAATTTTCCCAGCACCATTTATTGAATAGGGTTTCCTTTCCCCCACTGTTTATTTCTGTCAACTTTATCGAACATCAGTTGGTTGTAGGTGTGCAGCTTTATTTCTAGGTTCTCTATTCCATTCTGTGTGTCTTTTTTTGTACCAGTACCATGCTACTGAAGCCTTTTGTTTACTATAGCCTTTTAGTATTGTGAAGCTGGGTAATGTAATGCCTCTGGCTTTGTTCCTTTTGCTTAGGATTGCTTTTCCTATTGAGGCCCTTTGTTTCCATATGAATTTCAGAGTATTTTTTCTCTAACTTAGAATTATTTTAGCTCCAAGATTTCAGGTTTGAAATTCCTCCTCCTTGATTACAACACTCCTAATCTCTAACTGTAATATTTCATCCCACCTGCTAAAGATACTTTCTGGATGTCTCATAACCTCCAGTCCTCCAACCCTTCTTCTCCTAGTGCACCTGTTGCATTTAGACTCACTGCCATCCCAACAGAAACCCAACCCAGTGCTAGACATTTCATCTGTCCTAGCCAGCACTCATCACCCTCCACCCATCACACCTTTGCTAGGTCTGCCTCCCTGGCCCCACCTTGATTACACCTTTTATTTTTTCCCTCACCAGGTACTGTGCACTGCTATAGAAAGACATATGGCCGGGCGCGGTGGCTCACGCCTATAATCCTAGCGCTTTGGGAGGCCGAGGCGGGTGGATCACGAGGTCAAGAGATCGAGACCATCCTGGTCAACAAGGTGAAACCCTGTCTCTACTAAAAATGCAAAAAATTAGATGGGCTTGGTGGCGCTCACCTGTAGTCCCAGCTACTTGGGAGGCTGAGGCAGGAGAATTGCTTGAACCCAGAAGGAGGAGGTTGCGGTGAGCCAAGATCATGCCATTGCACTCCAGTCTGGGTAACAACAGCGAAACTCCGTCTCAAAAAAAAATAGCCATAATACATTGTGAAACCATTATGCATTCCTTTTAACCTCAACCATGACTTCACTACATATGTGTAGATGTCCCCATCAGCACCTTAAACATTGTGTTTAAAACCAAATTTCTCCTGATATACATAGTTGTTATTGATGTAACCAATCTCCCAGGCATCAAGCCTTGAAATCAAGAGTGAAATTTGTCTCACTTCCCTCCCCCTTCCCTGAAACCCCAGTCATCATATCCTTATTATCAGTATTATTTTTAATCACAGCATATGCAAAACCTGTCCCTTTTTTTTTTTTTTTTTCACTTCCCCTACAGACCCATATCCTGTCCCAGTTATACTGATAATCTCCTAACTGATTTTGATCTTCCAGTCTCTGGCCTCAGTTCCATCTTTTTTGATTTAGCCAAAGTTTAACTCACATAACATGCCCCAAAGCCACCTGTGGGCCCTTCCTCTTTGCCAACTGAAGCTTACATTCCTCAACCTGACCATCAGAAGCCTTCCAGGACCTAGCCTTTATCTGTATCTGCAGGCATCACCCACTGCTTGATATCATGCAGAATAAAAGCATAAACAGAATAGAACATGTCAGAATACATCCAATGTATTAAGCGTAAGTATTATCATGAAATCCCTGATTTCTAAAATCAATATATTTCTTGCCAAGGGTCACATTAATGTTTGAAAATCACTGTTCTATATCATTTGCTATTCCTAAACATATACTGTGACTTTCTCCTTCATTTTTACGTTATGAAGTATTTCAAGTATATAGAAGAGTGTAGAGGATAATGTAACAAACATTTATCACATGTTAACATGTGTTTACTTTAGATCTTAAAATGTACATAGTATATGTGTTTATATGTGTGTATATAAATATGTTAGTGTATCTATCTGTTCATCCTCTTCTCTCTAAAACAGATACAAAATACCTGGGCACGGTGGCTCACACTGATAATTCCAACACTTTGGGAGGCTGAGATACAAGCCATAATACATGGAAGAATCATTTGAACCCAGGAGTTTGAGACCAGCCTGGGCAACATAGGGAGATCCCATTTCTACAAAAATGTTTAGACAATTAGCTGAGCATAGTGGCATGCACCTGTGGTCTCAGCTAAGGGGAAGTACTGCTTGCTCCTGGGAGTTGAGACCGCAGTGAGCCTGAATGATAGTGATGCTGCATTCCGGCCTGGGTGACAGAGTGAGATCCTGTCTTAAAAAAAAAAATAGATTCAACTGTGATTTTTTAATCCACCAGGGCTTGTTGCCATTAGTGTAGAAAGGACTTATAGAGGGAGTCAGTTTCCTCTTTCCCACCTAGTCCCTGTGATCTTAGCAATTATTCTATAAATTTGACCTGACAAGAGTGTTACAGACAGCCATGTGTGTTCTGAATGGTTGCTAGTGTGTAGCTTTAGAATTCTTGACCAGAAGACAGGACTGGGGAGAAACAGAGGTGCCTGTCCATCCATAGATATTAATTTCCCCAAAAAGTTCAGTGGCAAGAGGAAGCGGGGGGCGGGGTGGGGGAGACTTCTTCCTGATCCCGAAGTAGAGATTCATGCTCAGTATACTTCTTTTTATTAGACATAGAAAAATGAAGTTAAGAAATGTAGAAAAATCAGTTCAAGTATCCAAGGATGCAAAATTCTTTCAGTTTGTTCATGAGTATAAAGTATTGGCTTAAATGATAGCAAGTTGATACCTGTTTATACCAGCCTCATAAATTTGTAATAAAACATGGCCAGGTCACAGGATTTTTATAAGCAGCTCACCATTCCATGCCATATGATCCATCAAATAAAGAATACATGAAATAAGGATTTTTAAGCTGCCCTTTTTAAGTTGACGGGGAGGTCAGTGATGCCTGGAAAATCCTAGTCTTAGGAAGGAGTTTAAAACTCACATTGGAAAATATAGGTTTTCTCAGCTCCAAAGGCACCCCAACTTCTCAGGGCAAACAACAACATGCAAATTTTAGAGTGACTAAAGAAATCACACCCCTGGTGTTTGTTTCTAGGTTATAGGTTGATTTTAGAAAAGGCCACATATAAGAATAACCATTTGTCTTTACTGTAACATAACCTCAAGTCTCAGATGACATCTGATTATCATCTGTGAAGTACTACCTGAGTGCCTGGATTGTTTTTCCAAATGAGTTGAAATGTCCACGTCCACAGCTGCCCGCCAATATGTACTTTAACAGATATATACCACTTGATTATTGACTGAGCACTGCCATACCACAGGTGGACCCTGACAGATTTAGACAAAGATTATAACAGCAGCCAAGAGACAAACAACTCCTTCCAGTCTGCTCAAATCTCACCTCTTCAAGGAGGCAGGCTTCCCAACCACACTATTCATTTAATATCACATCTGTACTCTCCCTGGCACTCCACAACACCCAACTCTACTCTATTTTTTCTTTGTTTTCCATAGTACTACTTATCACCTTGTGACTTAATACATTATTTTCTCGCTTACACTTGTAAAAAAAATCCAGCTGGGCAGGGAGGCTCATGCCTGTAATCCCAGCACTTTGGGAGGCCGAGGTGGGTGGATCTCTTGAGGTCAGGAGTTCGAGACCACCCTGGCCAACAGGCTGAAACCCGGTCTCTACTAAAAATACAAAATAGCCAGGGTAGTGGTGCGCACCTGTAATCCCAGCTACTAGGGAGGATGAGGCAGGAGAATTGCTTCAATCCAAGAGGTGAAGGTTGCAGTGAGCTGAGATCGCACCACAGCACTCCAGCCTGGGCAACAGAGCAAGACTCTAAGAGAAAAAAAAAATTCGAGTAAAATACATATAACATAAAATTTACCATCTTACCATTTTAAGTGTACCGTTTGGTAGTGTTAAATCCATTCACAGTGTTATGCAACCAGCCTCCAGAACTCTTTTCATTTTGCAAAACTGAAACTCTGTACCCATTAAACAATTTCCTATTCTCCCTCTTCCTGATCCCCTGGCAACCACCATTCTACTTTCTGTTTCTATGAATTTAGAGTAGAGAATACTACTCTAGGTACCTCATATAAGTGAAACCATATAGTACTTTCCTTTTGCAACTGGTTTATTTCACTCAGCATACTGTCCCCAAGATCATCCGTGTCATAACATGTGCCAGAATTTCCGTTTTGTCTCTTTTTTTTTGTAACAGAGTCTCACTCTGTCACCCAGGCTGGGGTGCGGTGGCGCGATCTCGGCACACAGCAACCTCCACCTCCCGGGTGCAAGTGATTCTCCTGCCTCAGCCTCATGAGTGGCTGGGATTACCGGTCCCTACCACCATGCCCATCTAATTTTTGTATTTTTAGTTGAGACAAGGTTTCACCATATCGGTCAGGCTGATCTCAAACTCCTAACCTCAGGTGATCCTCCCACCTTGATCTCCCAAAGTGCTGGCAGGTGTGAGCCACCACACCTGGCCAATTTTCTTCCTTCTAAGGTTGAATAATATTCCACAAAATTGTATTAACATCTGGAAGGAGAATATTTGATACCCACTTGGTAGCTCTGCTCAGCTGTAACGAAGATACCTCAAATGAACACTACCAAACGAGAATCAAGCTTCTCCCACTAACCCTACTTCTGTCCTGTGCCTCTAGTTCCTATCTCAGTAAATGGCTGCACCCAGGTGCTCAAGCCAGAAACCAGAGACACAGCATTCCTTCTCCCTCATTGTTACTGCTCTTTATCCAGTTGCCTGTGATAATTACTAAAATGACTCAGATATATTGAGCACTTACTCTATACTACACATGGTTCTAAGTTCATTGCATGTGACTTAAATAAATAAAACATTTATTCCTCTCAACTCTATGAAATGAAATCTACTATTTTTAGCTCTTATACAGATCAGGAAACAAGTGAAGTCCCTTGCCCAAAATCCAGACAGGAAGTGGTGGAGCCAGAATCTGTGTCCAGGTAGTCTGGCTACACAGTCCGTGCCCTAAACTTTTATGCTATTCAGGAAATGCTTTCTGTTTCAACTTTGTTTATTGGAAATCATTCTACCCAATGTATTAGTCCACTTTCCTAAATGTGCAAGTGAACATAATTCTGTCCAGGTCCTTTATCTCTTTCCATATGCAGTTTGGCTAATGGAGATATCAATATTAAGAAGATAGGACTGTATCTGTAGTAAGCCTAGGAAGTTTTGTTTAAGAGCAAAACTTAAAGGCGGAGTTAAGCACTCCCTCTGACAAAGGATTAGAGGGGAAGTTAAGTTTCCCTTTAAGTTTTGCTCTTAAACAAAACTTCCTAGTTGCCTCTTAAACAATTCCCAAAGATGTTCTCCCTGGGAAATTGCTTTCAAACAAAAGTTCTAATATCACTTGATTTTCCTGTGTTTTGATACATATTTTTTTCTCCAAAGTGGAACATGTCAGCAAGTCAGTTTACTTGAAGACTATGATTAATTAAAGCTATAATGTAGCAGATACAGTTATTGATATCAACAAGGTACATCCATCATAAACACCATTAAAAAATGACAGCTTTCCTTCTTTGAGGTTGCATTGATCTTGGAGGCAAAGTGGGCTAGAAGGCAGACAGCCCAAGCCTGACACCCATCAAATTAAATGAATCACATACTTTAAAAAAAACCACAATCCTTCTGGTAACAGTAATGCCATCTATAAACTGAAAAGAATAATAAAGGCCAACAACTTAAGCCTTCTGAATTAAAGTTGAAAAAACTAAATGCAATTACAAGCAGTAAGATGAATGCAGGTTGAGAAAGTGTCACTTTTGCATTTTAAGCTTATTCAGTGTCTAACAGCCAACATTATATAAGTTTACCATCGAGTTAACATTAAAATAAGATGCATTTTAAATCAAAATTGTGCATTTTAAAGTCCCTAAGGTGCCTTTAGAAAACAGAGAATACAGTACCAGCAAGAAGCTATTTGGGCAAGTCCATAGATCATACAGGCTAGGAAGAGACAAGCATTCAATGTTACCAGAACTTCAAGGTCAGCACTTGTAGATTTGTTTCCATCACCCCAGCAGACAAAGGATCGTAGTATCTACTGAAAAGTTACATTCATTCCCCAACTACTATTTCAGCCTCACCCACCATTCATCCCACCAGAGAATTAAATTACTTCACATTCCCAGATAACAAGCAAATGATGATTTGGGGAGATTTTTTTTATATGACATCCAAAAAGATACAGAAAATAAAGAATAGTAAGCCAGAAGTGATTTCAGCTTAAGTATCATTTTTATACACGAATTACTAGATATAAGTATACAATTAATAGGGGGGCTCTAAATCTTATCCAATTTTTAGAAAATACTTAGCTAATCTAATATTTCGTCTAACCTATACGGGTTTTTCTTTCCTGCTTTTCCTCACCCCATACCCAATATTCAGTTGAGACTTTTGAAATGGAAAAGCACCTCTGCCTGTCCCTGCTCTGAAATCAGATCATCCAAAATGAGCCTCAGTTTGACTTTTCCCCGCAAAAGAATGTACTGTTGATTAAAACAAGAGAAAACCGGCTGGGTGTGGTGGCTCACAACTGTAATCCCAGCACGTTGGGAGGCCGAGGCGGGCAGATCACCTAAGGTCAGGAGTTCAAGACCAGCCTGACCAACATGGAGAAACCCCATCTCTACTAAAAATACAAAAACTTAGCCGGGTGTGGTGATGCACACCTATAATCCCAGCTACTCAGGAGGCTGAGGCAGGAGAATGGCTTGAACCCAGGAGGCGGAGGTTCCAGTGAGCCAAGATGGCACCATTGCACTCCATCCTAGGCAACAAGAGTGAAACTCCATCTCAAAAAAAATAAAAAGAGAAAACCACACTAGTCCATACAATACACAGCCTGATTTTAACCACCCGGAAGGCAGCCTGGCATCCTCTGTCAAGCCTCCTAGAGACAGGCAGGCCTGGAGCAGCCCACGCAGCTTCTGCCTGCACATTCTACCAGCTCATAAGGATTTTGGTGACTACAGACTGGCCTAAGCCACTACTGCCGTCCAATACATTGTCTATAATATGGTGATAAACACTTAAAACCTTATTAAGGAAGTCTTCATGCTTCATAGGCACTATCTTAATATTCTCCAAATTTCTTCAAAAGTAAAGAGAATTATTATAGCGAGTTAGTTATTACTAGGCACTAAGTTTTTTGTTTTCCCATCTCATCAAACTACACATAATCTAGATTCAGTTTAATACAACTGCTATGCCAGAGTAGGAACTCCTGCAGGATAGGTCTGGGTTTCAATTCCTTTTTCTTCCCCTTGAGCACTGCCTTAGCATTCTGTTTCTTCCATAAGAATGATCTGATTTAGTCTTACTGACTAACCAACCAATCTACAAACCACTGAATGGCCTACTGTAAGTTGCAAACGGAGAGTTGCAACCTCCAAATCTTCCATGAACCACTGATGTTTAAAACATCCCAGCCACGCATGGTGGCTCACACCTGTAATCCCAGTGCTTTGGAAGGCCAAGGCAGTAGGATCACTTGAGACCAGGAGTTCAAGACCAGCTTGGGCAACTCAGACCCGTCTCTACAAAAGAATAAATAAATAAAAATTAGCCAGGAGTGGTGCCACGTACCTGTAGTCCCAAGTACTTGGGAGGCTGAGGAGGGAGGATCACTTGAGCCCAGGAGAGGAGGCTGTAGCGAGCTATGATCACACCATTGCACTCCAACCTAGGTGACAGAGTGGGACCCTGCATCTTTTTAAAAAATTTCCATTCTCATCTGTTTTCTAGAAAGGGTTTGGCATCTATGGATTGTAATGTCATTGAATGAGGAGATCTGCTCCCTAGCTGTTAGGGACCAAATATGACCACAAGCTAAAAAACTCACTGAATTTTAGTATGGAAAGGGCTTTATAGACCACTTATTTAGGAAATGGCAAATAGATTTCACTCGTCATGCCAACCTCTGTTGCTTGGTAATGGCTTCCTGGAGTCCCGTGTTTAGCATTCCAGGCCTGGACTGGAGCTTAGAAGGCAAGGTGTTACAGATTCACAAGGTCTGCCATAAGCTCGAGGGAGGTGAGGATCAGGAGGGAGCAGTGACACAGAGCCATGTATTTGCCACCCCGGAGCTGACACTACTGTAGGCAGCTAAGTGACTTGCAGTCTACTGTTTTTCCCACTAAACTTTTTAAAAAAGTAGTGATCATACCAATAATGAAAAACTATTTCAAAATATTTGCAATAACAAATCCTTTTTTTTTTTTGAGACGGAGTTTTGCTCTTGTTACCCAGGCTGGAGTGCAATGGCGCGATCTTGGCTCACCACAACCTCTGCCTCCTGGGTTCAGGCAATTCTGCCTCAGCCTCCTGAGTAGCTGGGATTACAGGCATGCGCCACCGTGCCCAGCTAATTTTTTGTATTTTTAGTAGAGACAGGGTTTCACCATGTTGACCGGGATGGTCTCGATCTCTTGACCTCGTGATCCACCCGCCTCGGCCTCCCAAAGTGCTGGGATTACAGGCACGAGCCACCGCGCCCAGCCCAACGAATCTTTAAAAAAAATACATTTTCCCTGAAAAGGACATCAACTTGCATTATCTCTAATAATAACAATGAGGTCCATAGAGAGCCAAAGATGGAATTTGTCGGCTTTTCCTCAACTGCACCCTGACAATTACCGTCTTCTAGAACTCCATGGATAAGATAGTTTAAAAAGAGCTAAGACATTCTCCAGCATTTACACAGCTTCTGTAACGGGACAGGAGAGGTAAGGGGGAAGAAAAGGAAATAGAAGTTTAGGAATCAAGCAAATGAAGTTGG